AGAGAAGAGGGGAGGAGTTGATCTTGCGAGAACTTCCGGGCGGGTGAGAATAGCCACTTTCTATATATATATAGAGTGCAGGCAAATTGCTGTCGTCGTAAAGAGACATGGTGGCTTTATGAAGAGGAATCTCCTCGATAGAAAGAAAACTGGACAATAGATTGGAGCGTGTAAACGGACAGCACAGTTCAATAAAACGGACAGTTCTCTCATAAGACGAATCTGTTACAATTTATCGTTTCGTGTAATCGGGGCTTTAGAAAGGGCGCTAGGATTTGGGTTAGGGGTTGGGTCAGGGTTAGGGTAAGGTCTCTTCTTTATTGTGTTTGTAAAGGTGGCCACTCTTTACGAAAGTCCTTCCAATTGGCAAGCTTCTCTATCAAAAGATCCTCTTTTATTTAATTTGAATTTTAAAAGTTAAAACTGTAGAGTCTAATAATTTTTTTACGCTATTTCCATTATATACCTTTGAGCCCTAGCCACCGGTACCGGTGGCGCGTAAAATTGCCCATAGATATCGCAACCTCTGTGCTTTTTTGTCGTGTCTCCATTTGCTTCAACATTGAAGATGTGACTTCAGGTTTGCTATGAAACTGTTTTCACTGTTATTTAAAATGGAGCTATACGACAAGAAGAAGGCACTGAGGTCACGATATTCCTAGCCACCGGTACAGCAGTGAACGAGCCCTTAAATATCCCCAGCCTGGCTGGCCTGGGACAAAATTGGCATGGATACAGACGCAGGGAGTTACTTTAATTATTTTGACCTCTCATGACCTAGAAGTTAAGGTGTTGGCCTCTCATTCAAAGGTCCCGGGTTCGAATCCGGGTAGCGACCAAAAAATTGTCTTCTCTAAAATTGTCTCCTTTCACCTCCTTTCCTGCTCTTTTGCAATATTCTGTCGTCTGCTTTCATCTCCTCTTTCTACCCCCACCCCCTCACCTTCTTCGCCCCCTCCTCTGGGCTCTCCTGGCTTTTTCTGTAGCCTTTCTACTGCTACTCCTTGGCTCTTTCTTACTGCTGTCTTTCAGCCACACCCCTGATCTTCTGGTAGAAAAGATCTACTCCTAGCTTTCTCGGACAAGAGCGAAAAATCTCGGAGGTCCTGTGTGCAAGTTGAGCATGTAAAATATTCCTTGGTGTTCAAAATTGATAGGAGTAGGCTTCGGCCGCCACCCGAGCAAAATTAAAAATTTCCTACTAATTGAAAATGTTTTGTGTGTCCCATGGGCTCAAATATGACCTTATGCAGTTGCGAGTAACGTAAAACACTTAACCCCCCC